AACACACACTGCTAGGTCATGATGATATGGAAAGACAATCATTGAGCCAGGAGGCCCAGGTCACAGAGGATCATCAGCACTGCCTTGTGTTTGGGGCCGAGTCAGGCAGCAGAATTGGACAGTCCTGCCGAGGCGGGGCAGGGTGGAGGCAGTCATTGGATCCTCCCAAACTACCTGGAAGGTTTTGTGGAAGAGGTAGAATTTCATCCACTTTCTACTAAAACGGTCAGAGATCTCTGGGAAAACTTACAAGGAAGTAGATTTAAGGAGGGTCATAGTGGTGGGTGACAGGGGCCTCACCATCGTGCCTCACCATCACTGGAGGTGGTGTGCAGACACAGTAAGCTTGGTGAGCTCTCGGCTTCCCACTAGTAGACAGTGATAACACGGACTGTGGAACCCAGGCGTCTTCTTTCCTAGTCCTGTACCCAAATGACTAAACAGAACCTGTCACAGAGCCCTGGCTGGACGACCTCCCATCCTGGTCCTCCCAGATCAGATATGTAAACGAGCTCTGGCCCTGCAGCCCTGCATGTAAATGAACACACTTGACAGGACTTGGAATTGGAGCCCCTCCCCTCCTGTGTTACCTCTTTTGTGGTGGTGGGGTAGGGGGAGGATGTTCATAAAATTTGGTGGAACTCAGGGGATTGCCAAAGCAGCTTCTAGTTTTCTGAGCTAAAACAAGGTGAGCAGGGGGCCCAAGAAAGGGTTGGGGCCTGCCCAGGAAGAGGCAGGGGCTCTGGGAATGCAATCTACAGGGTGGGCAAACCCGGCCCATCCTGACCCACTGCTCCTGTGTCCCCTCCACAGCACTACAACCAGTCAGAGCAGATGAACCACATTTCAGACATCCTCAATGTGGCCTTCACTATCATCTTCACCCTGGAGATGATCCTCAAACTCATGGCCTTCAAGGCCAGGGTAAGTGTGGGGGCTGCAGGGCCCGTTGAAAAGCTGGGGCTGGGGAGGTGGGGCCTTCCAGTGGAACATCCACCCCATCCCTCATCCTATCAGGGCCCCTTTGCCCAGAACTTCTGCTCCCAACTTGCTCCTTTGCCCACTTCCACCTTCAGACACAGGGCAGGCAAATCTTCATGCAGCCAGAATTGACCAATGACAGAAAGACTCTGGATGCCTCTTCCTTTGAGCTTCTCTTACATTCTCGCCTGCCCTGAAGTTTCTGAAGAACAGGCCCAGGGCTGGGGGAAAATCTTGCCTTGTCTCTTTGATTCTCAAGTCCATTCCCATGGTTCCCAGCACAGCCCTGTCAGTTCTGCACTGTAAAGCCCCAGACAGGATGTTCAGTGGGGTTCAGGGGATGAAAGATATCTCTATCTGGACCAGGACCCCAAATCCTGAGTTCCCAATGATTCCCCCCCCCCCCCACTGCTTTCTGCTCTGGAGGAGGGGAAA